TTCAGAGGCTGAGAAATAAAAGTTTTAGTGAACATCAGGTTTTTCAGAAAACTCTCAGGGTTTTAGGAGGTAGTTTTCAAACAGTGCTGAGGTTACTGGGTTAAAAGCACACATGCACGTTAGCATGTTGATATTGGCATTTAGCAAAGCCTTGCCAGTGCAGCTTTACAGAGCTGCCAGCATGGCTGTACACTCTTGAGACAACTTTAGGGCCCTTCCAGTCAATAGCAAACTTCCATCTTTGTGCAAGTTAAGACTGTATGAATCGTACTCATTGGCAGAGTAACCGGGGACGTATTGACCCGCGAGCTGGCGTGGCGGCTCGGGCCACAGACCTGCAACACAAACACACAAAGTTCCTCTTATTACAGTCGCCGTCTCGGACCTCGTCTGGGTGGTTTCTCAGCGTGGCAGCGATGGCGATTTGATGGGTGTTCATGTGAAGTGTTGGTTATAATTACAGGTCAAAGGTGGAGAAAAGTGATTCTTATCCAATACACTTTTATCAAATTCAGTGAATATCTCCTCATGGTCCACGAGCTGTCTGTTCTGTGTGCGAGCTGAGCTCCTACACAGCCGAGGCTCTGTAAACAGGAAATACACAAAGTGGCTCAGACTGGAGTAACAATGGTAACACTGGATTTTGGATTTTGTACAAATGTTCTTGTAAATACACAGATGTTTGCTTCTTTGTTACAAGAATGTAGTTTATTTCTTTGGCTGTTTTTAAAATTTTTTACTATATTGAGTAAAAAATAAAAAATAATGTACTATTATTGATCAGGAAAGCTTTGTACGTTAGAATCTAAACTCAAGCTTGCTTCCTATTGATTAACCCATTCATATTGCACAATATTGCACATTGCACATATTTGTATCATTTTGATATTTTTTCACATTTTTTATTATCAATATTTTATTGAAGATTTTTCTATTCATATTTAAGCTACCTGTCCAGCAGTATTTTCTTCTGCTTTATCTTTCTTTATATATATATTTTTTTTTTCTTCTCACTGTGTTTCTTGTTGTGAACAAAAACATCAAAGAAAAATTCCTTGTATGTGAAAACCTACTTTGCAATAAACCTGATTCTGATTCACTACTTGGAAAGAGGAAAAAAAAAAAAAACACGAACATGATGTGGCTAAAGTGGTGCATAAGACCCCTCGTGAACACACACACACACACACACTCTTAACTCTGAGATACTTTCCACGTGTTGCAGAGGATACTCATGTGATGGTCTGGTTCCTCCCGAGACAGGTTCTCTACTACTGACAGACACAGGGAAGAAGCAGAACATGTAGAATTTCCATGTAGAACAAAAGAACTGGAAATGACTCTGCCCTCCAGTATCCATACAGTTCTCAGAACATACAGTCATTTTAATTTCCCGGTCACTGAATCAAAAAACCTTGAGAATTTGGTCGTAGCTGAGTGTGTTGGAGTGGAACTAAATGAGATTTTCCACCACTTCAAGAGAGAAAAACAGCTGAAAGGAAACATCCATGCACCTGAACACAGTCAAATGGTTCATCTGACTGAATTTAAACAGACAGTCTGTTCATTTGAATTTTATTTTATTTTTTTTTTGCAAGAGGTTTAATTCTGACCTTTATTTACCTAAAGGAGGGCCAGCTGTGAGCGGCTCTATGACCGTTTCATAGTGTCAGTCAATGAGCAGCTGTCAGACAAACTTGCCTTGCTCACAGGCAGCTCAACAGAGCTCACTAAGAGAGGACTTCTCAGGTATCTAGAGTCAGTGAATGGATTCAACCCTTCCTGTCACATATCTACACGAGTTAGTCAGTTCATGTACAGTACATGCAAAACTGCCTTGAGAAATGTATAGATTTAAAATGATTATAAAGACTACATTTAAAAAAAAATGCATCATAACTCTGGTTTTATCAAAAATTAAAAAAAAAAAATTCAAATTTTTACTCTAATTTTGTACATTGCAACACAACCCAAGCATCTTAGCACTTGATGATGTAATTCTTGTATTTGATTTGACAAGTGGTCAGAATTTAATCCTGTAATGTAAAAAATATCAGACAGTTGTTTTTCTTCAGATATGTACGATACCTACCTGACAGTCAGACAGGGGTAATGATGATGTCTGGTAAAGATAATCCATTTCTCTTGAATAGTGAACAGGATTCTTTCACAATAGGAATTAATGAGGAAATTTATGATGCATTTCAGTGATGTGCACAGGAAGAAATTAAACAGAGATAACATGACTGAGTGTAGGTGTGACTATTCGGAGATTTGGTTTTCCAATTTTAACTTTACAAAAAATCTAATCAGCTTTTTGTTTTGGTTTTTTTCCCACATTAAAAGGAGTTTTACACTTTGTATTTGAGGGTCTTGGAGTCCTTCGGATAATGATGCCACAAATCTTCACTAGAGCACTAACTGTGGATTTTTTTTTTTTCCTATAAATGAAGCTTTATAATATTTGTGATGTTTTTAAAACATTCATGTCTTGAATAGGATCCAATGAGATGAGAGCTTGATTGAGATTTGTTGAAAATAAGAAAAATACATAACAGTGTCAGGGTCATCTTTTAATAAGTAGATGAACTGTATATAATTCTTGCATTTCTCCCCTTCATAAATAAATAGTGACGGCAGAGCCCTCGCTCTCTCTGTATCTCTGAATTCACTCTTTCTCTCGCATCGTCTCATCTGTGAAGGTCAAAGTGTGACCTCTGTTATTTCCTGCCACTCGACTTCTCAGACATGAAGGCTTCGTAGTGTGTGTGTGTGTGTGTGTGTGTGTGTGTCGTGTGTGTGTGTGTGTGTGTGTGTGTGTGTGTGTGTGTGTTTTGCGTGTGTGTGTGTTTGGTTTCGTGTGTGTGTGTGTGTGTGTGTGTTTGCATGTGTCAAATCTAAGGGTGCGTGTGCATCTTTGTGTGGAGCAGTCAGATGTTATTAATGGGGGAGTGAAAGGTGAGTCATTACACATCGGTAGACGACCCCGTTGCCATGGCAGCGTAGGCGTAAGTGCCTGCTGATTTTGCCTAAGTCCCATGTGATGAAAGCAACAGGGATTTGAACTGCGGGGCCGTTGGCGCCGGGAGATGAGGAGGAAGAAAACCCTTATCTGCTGCGAGGGGAGAGCTGACCTTTCGCTTCCAAAGTTAAGTCTCTGCTGTTATTGGAGTTAATCTTCCTCCGCGGGGCGTGATGAGGAGCCGATAGCGGAGCGGCGCTCGGGCCTTTGCTGTGAGTCACGCAGGGAAGTCACAGAGACACTACATGATGTAGTTTATTTGCGCTTGCAAATGATGCAACCTGGGGCGGAAACGAAACGAGGACGGAAGAGGGAAGTAGAAGAAGAGATGGAAACACCGAGCGAGCGAGAGAGAGAGAGAGAGCGGCGGGGACAAAGGGAAGCCTCGAGGGGCTCATCGAAAGACAAACACGGCGAAGAGGTAGTGTGAGAGGAATCAAGTTGGCAAACAGAGGCAGAGGTGGGAGGCGAGAGGTGAAACAAAACGATGTGGAAACAAGAAGAGGAGAGAGAAAAAGAAAAAAATAAACAGAATGGAGGAGTAACGACAGAGGGAGAAGGTTTTATCTGTTCACATATTCACACGGGAGAAAGAGGCAGAAGAAACAGAGTGGGTGTTTTTCTTCATAGAGAGTCGGATTGTAACGATACTTTCTACTGGGAGTATGCGGGGGTAAGGTCCTCATGTCCTCTGCTCATCTAACTGCGTCTTAGCCCCTCCCCCACACGTGGCCGTTGTTGCAGTTAGCAGCTGTATCGACAACCACACACAGCTTCCCGCGGTGACTGGCAGGTGTGTGGAGGTGAGACTCGAGTCGGGGTTTGGGCTTTTTGGTCTCAAGTCTCAAGAACGACAAGTCTCAAATGGAGTCCAAAGTCAAGTTACAAATGAAAACCAGCAATTTCAAAGTTAAGTCCCGAGTCAAGAGCAACAACTCCCAAATCAAGTCCTGAACCTCAACTAATAAATGCCCAAAGTCAAGACTAACAACAACAGGTAGCTGTTATTCCTCCATCTAATCTCTAATGTTATAGTTTAATAAAGTGGTTTGTATCTTAAAGTAGAATGAACAGTTAGTAATGTGAGGACAAGAGGGGGAGGAACCGTTGTGAGATGAAACACAATACAGGTGGTGTGTGTGTGTGTGTGTGTGTGTATGTGTATGTGTGTGTGAAAGGAAATTGACTCTTGACTCCTCAAAATATCAAAGGGGCACTACTTTGTTAAAATACAAAAAGTAAAAACTCTTTTTAACAGCTACATAACAAAGTGTCAGATACACACAAGTGTAGTTAGATGAAAAGTCAGGGGTTCGCCAGGGTTTAATAGAATTCATCCTCTGGAGACAGACATGACAGTCCATCCAACAATTGCTGGGACGTTTCAGTCTGGTGCACCGACCAGCTGGCTGACATTAGCGTGGGAATCAGTTAGCACGGTGGCTTCACGGTTAGCGCAAATGCTCTCCACTGAAAAGGTCACACAATCAAATCCTGGCTGGACCAGACTCTGCACAGGTTTCCCCTGTGCGCACTGCTATTATCATTAGGAAGAGGATAAACCTTACTGCAAGTCATTCTAATTCCTTAGATTGTTTTGTATTTGAAGTGAAAACACACATTTTTAAGACTTCACATAACATGACTCACCAGCGGGTCACTGCTTGCTGCAGTTCCACATCCTTTTCAAAAGTAAATGTATCAGTATATTATTGTAAAAATACTCCAACACAAGTAGTTCTGCATTCAAAATCTGACTGAGACAAAAATGTACTTAAAGTGTCAAAAATAAAACCATTACAGAAAAAAAAGATCTGATATATTATTCAGCATGACATGGCTAAATGATTGGGAATTGATCCAGTATTCCAGTATCATCACAGGAACTTGGAGGTAAACAGGTAAGACCTCTGAAACTTTCAGGTGTTAGCAGGAGCAGAGAGACAATGTGGGACTTAACCCCAGTGACGGGACTCACCCATCCGGACGGCAGAGAGGGTGTTGGCCTGGCTGAAGGAGAGCGGTGCCATGGTCAGCAGCAGGACGGCGACGTAAATCGACAGCAGCAGTGCTGGCAGAGCCGGCATCTTCCACTGCTCCTCATGGAGAATGGTCTGCTGGCTGCCTGTACCGCCACCTGCGGGACAGGAGGAGTCATTAAGCGCTCAGTCTGCAGCGGGTATCACATCTTAATCTTCCCCATGTTGCACACGAAGCCCCTGATTTTCACGGTTGGATTTGAACCGCTGCCGCACATTCACAGCATCATTTATTACCAACACAGCCTGTAACGAAACATTCAGACATGCAGTCGACATGCAGCAGCTGTTCTGTAAACGCACAACTTGGCCAACGTGACGCAGCAACACCCTGTACACAGCATCTTGTCAGTTTATTTATTAGCCACAGTAGAAGGCAGAGGCAGCAACATTATCAGCTGTGAGGAGTTTAAAGGGAAATCTGGCTCGTTATTCACATCCAGTAAATTAGATTAGTTTAAGCGCTCACATGAAGCACGCTGTCAAAATAAGAGTCACGCAAGCAAGAGAGAACAGTCCCCAAAACTACAACCGGAACTAAAGGCGAGAAAACGAATGATAAATGGATTATTACTGAATCTGAATCATCTAAATCATCCACATTGAGCCAGCGTTAGAACCCGACCGGACACACACAGTCTGGAGTCCAACACCTTCAACACACACACACACACACACACACACACACACACACACACACACACACACACACACACAGACAGACATATACTCAGATGATCCGGGCACAAATTGTACAGTACAAACGTTGCATTATGTGCATAGACAAACAGTAAGTAACAAAACCACCGTACAATAATAAAAACATCCACACTGAGGATGCACCGTCAGGAGAGGGAGACCAGGCTAATGTTTAGAATAGACTGATTCACCCCATCACAAGTTTTAAAGTTGGACATCAGAACTAGAATCAAAAGATTTCAAATGCTCAGTACAGGAGATCACACAATACAGCTGTTTTCTTTTAAGTGTATCTTTGATCATTTTGTGAAATGATTTCTTGATTGAGAACGATTGAGGCGCATGAGAAAAACGTGCCAAAGCAGTGGCAAGTGTCATAGCAACGATGGCATCACTGTGGCGACTGTACGGTCATTTCCAAACCCCCCAAAAAAAAAAAAAAAAGGGATGTGGAAGAAAAAAAAGCAGGGTCAGTTAACACCTCCTTCTCTTTTTCTTTCCCTCCCCCACCCCTCTTCCCCACCACTTTCCCCACTTTTCTCTCTGACTAGTGTCTCTCATGGTTTCTCTCCCGTGTGTGTGCAATCTCACTGACCCGAGTCGCAGTGATTGGCTGAGCAGCATCACATGACCAGTGTCGTAAAAGGCTAGAAAAGCTGAGGCGGTCAAAATAGAAATGCTCCGTCAAAATTTAATAATTCTTATTAATTTATAGGTTATAATTCTGGGCATGGACAGGACGGAGTCCCAGACCCAGACCACGGTCCACCTGTTAGTGGCCTCAGATCTAGACTGACTGCACATATAGAGAGATATGAACATGTGAGCAATAAATCCATGTTAATAAGCACATGAATAACACAATCATAAGCTCAGCTTCATTATAACACTGTCACACTGCTGAAACGCACGCCGACTAAAAGAGACAAAGAAGAAGAGACTGAATGAAGATCTTGAAGGCTGGAGTGGAGGCAGGCCGCTGTAACACAAACTAGTCAGACGGGTTTGAATGTAGTCTGAGAGAAAACAAGGGAGGTGAAGAGAGAGACAGAGAGAGAGAAAGAAAATATGAGAAAGAGGGAGAGTAAAAAGAGGAGAGGAAGAGAAACCAGAGAGAGGATAAATAAATGAGAAAAACGGGGGAGGAAAGGGAAAGAACATGAGCGGACAGGAAAAAGGGAGACACAAAGAGACAGAGGAGGGAGGGAGAGAAAAAGGAGGAAGCTGGACAGAAAATATTAGAGAACAAAAGTGAGTGTGAGAGAAGAAGAGACGATCACATGTTGCAGAGAGAGAGAGAGAGAGATTTAAAATGGCTGAGTGAGGGAGCATGACGAAACCAGTCCAAATCTTCAAAGTAGATTAGAGACACTGAAGCGAGGTTTTTTCATTAGCTCCTGTTTCTATGCATGCGTGTGTGTGTGTGTGTGTGTGATTTGCATGTTTGCACTGAACATCTCCAAGCAACAACAACAACAACAACAACAACAGAGAGCGGCAGATCCCCCGCCAACGCTGTTCAATCCCATCATGCAACTGCTTCATCTTTTCATCTCTGCGTGGACACTTATGTTCCTCCCGCCCCTCCCAGAGCACGTCCTGGGTTTGTTTAACCCGCCCCTCGCTAAATGTTTATCGCCGCCCCGCCAATGAGGCGTCCCGCATGAATTTAAATGAGATTCCCAAATGGATTTTAAATTGGCTGGAGTCGATCGGGACGAGCTCGATGGCAGAGAGCGAGACACGACCTGCCGATGCCGAGAGATGAAGTCAAAGATAAAAGCCGCTGATGAGAGAGCAGAGAGACGAGGAGAGGGAGAGTTCCTCTGATAAGTGATACCGATGAAGGTGATAATGACGGTCTAACTGTTTTCGAGGTAATATAATACGTACTGATTATGATCTGTTGCTGTGAGCTGTATGTTTCGTCTCTCCACAGTGTCAGTGTGGAAACTGATTGCTGGCAAACAGCAGCGGCAGTCGTACAGAAATGTGTTAGAGAAGCAGAAATAACTGCACTTGATAGAGCCAAAGAGTTTCTCCAAGTGTAGACTAAAGGGACAGATTCCAACTCAGAGGTGTACACAGTGGACGTGTCCCGCACAACCTCATGGCTTTGAATACATAGCTGTGGCTGCATGGGTGCGAATCATATGCTTAGGGCTACACCTCTTATAACAGCTTACCACTTACTACCAGCTGCAGGGAAGAGGAGGAGTGCTGCCAATTCACTGAGCCACAAAATAAACTACATTTATTACATGTATCATTATTACTAAAGGGGGCAGAGGAATAAATAAACATAAGACTGACGAGCAGAGAGAGCAGGAGAGTGTGTGTGTGTGTGTGTGTGTGTGTGTTGGGGGGCGGGGTTCATTGCTAACTGTTAAGCTAAAGAAATTAATGGATCTGGATAGCATGTAAACAACGAGACAGTACGTTTACTGCAGCACAGCAATAAAAGCTCTGTTAATAAGTTATGGTCTTCAGTGCTCTTTTAATTTGAAAAGGTTACAGAAGGCAGTGAGTTTGTATTAATGCCTAATGCAGTAGCTTTAACACGGCAAACGGTGGCAACTGAAAACAAGGCTCTGTTGTTAAATACTGGTATAACCTATTATACATATCAAACAGAGGGAACTGGAAATAAAGGCTGTTCTGGAGCTGAAGTAAATAAAGGCTTCATGACTCAGTCATTTGGTATTCAGCTGACTAATGATGTAACTTGATCACTCACTCACTCAGTCAGTCGGTCGGTAAGTCAGGGACATTTGTGTTTATAGGGCTGGCCCCAACTCTTGTGGTCCAGCCAATAATATCATTTCATTTTAAAATGCACATCTTATAGTGGCCAACAGATACGGAATCCAAAACAAGTTGCATGGCAAGATATTTTCTGACATCTGTCATAACACAATACTCATATGTAAACTGATAGAATTATTGGTTTCCTGTAACTGTTCCTCCCCTCCACGCTGGGACAAATATCCCATCCTCAAGTGATTTTGCTGCGAGCTGCTATGAAGCTTCAGCAGTCTGACTACAACAAACCGAGCAGGTATCTTCCAAAGTTCAAGTCTTTTTATACAGGATTACCTCTTTGTGTTTCTGTCCCCCTGCAGCAGCTCAGTGAAGAAACAGTGCGGAAACACAAGGTATTTTTTGCACAGAACAAGGACTGTGGATTTTGTCCTCCATCTCTTACACTGACATTGCTTCAGGAAGCAGTTTATGCAAGACCAGTATGGAAATGACAGACAGAACAATTAAAACCATTTTAGTATTTATGAATCTTAATACTGGAACAGTTGTAATGGTGATCTAAGACCTGCTCCAAAAGTGCGTTCTTTTAAAACCAAGCTTAAGCCTTTTCCATCGAGCTTTTTCCTAAATGAACACACCGTGTGTATGTTTGTGTATAGATGTTTCTATGTATAACCACATTTTCACTGTTTTATTTTGTTTTCTTACGTAAAGCACTTCAAACTGCACTCTATAAATACATTTGAATGTGAATGACTTGGGTTCTGGCGGCGATGTGCCTATACATACAGATGAATGCAAATTCCAGCTTCCAGCTTTCATTTCCGTGGGACTGTCTGTATGAAAGTAAAGGTGGATTTATGCAGTAAGTCTGAGTTAAACAGCATAGCTCACGGTGCTGCTGCTGTTTCTGATGTGCACCTCCACTAACATGAACCTGTATGAAGTTTCTGATGCCTGAGAAAAGACTCCATTATCTTTCTTTCTTGCAGCCATCATCACTGCAGACCAAGCATCAAGCACCATCAAGCAAAGATGAAGCCAACAGTGAAGCGCTATAAGACTGCAGTTCCTCTAATGGCCACTCGAGGCTGGCTTCAAAAGTGAGTCAGTCTCCATAGACTCCCATGTTGAAATGTCCAACTTTACAGGGGAAATAAACATGTTTACAGCCTGGTACAAAAAACTGTTTTGGTCTCTACAGCTTATTTCCTCCTTCATGACAACTGTTCATATATTATATTATGGCTCAAAGTTCTGCATAATTGAGGGCATGGCTTTGAGTGACAGGTGGGTAAGCGTATGCTTGCCACAAACCGGCATGCACCGAAGTCTCAGCTCCACACACGCCCCACCTCTTTGCCCATTTTTGGATTAGCCGGGAGTTAGGTGGAGTCAGGCACTGCCAAGATGGCAATGGCAGAGAAGCTCACTCTGAGCTTCAAAACCAACCTTCAGAAACACGTGGGTGACTCTCCTCTCTATCACAGTGAACGAAATCAGTGATGAGACGAGATACACCTCCCCATTTTTCTCTCTACTGCAAAGTGAATTAAAAAGTAGTACAATAACTGTGGGGTAACTGT